CCACCCGACAGGATCCACCCTCTCCTTTTCCCGAAGGGTCTTGAAATGCTCTAGTACCTCCTCTCTCTCTGTTAATTACTTCGAATATTTCACAGTACTTCACTCAGTTCTCTATGTCTGTGTTGTCCTTTTACATTGTGAAGACTAATGCAAAGTACTCATGGACTGTGCCTACGTTTTCCAGGTGCACACACAGATTACCTCAATGGTCTCAAACGGACCTTACTCTACCTCCAGCTATTTTTTTGCTCTTCATACTTTTTTTTAAAATCCTTTAGATTTTCCTTTATTCTACCCTCCAATCTTCTTCAAGCACTCTTTCTTTTATTTTCAAGCTCCCCTCTGCACTTTATATACTCCATTGTGATCCCTTGATATCGTTTATTAAAATTTACTCATAGGATGTGGGCATTGCTGGGCTTTTATTGCCCATCCCGAGTTGCTCTTTCAGAAGGTGGCTGTGAGTTGCTTTCTTGTACTGCTGCAATCTATCTGGTTCAAGTACACCCACAATGTTGTTCTGGACCGAGTTCCAGTATTTTGACCCAGTGACACTGAAGGAATGGCAATGTATTCCTGAGTCAGGATCATGAGTGGCTTGGAGGGGAACTTGCAAGGGGGTGGTGTTCCCATGCATCCCTATCCTTCTGGATGGAAGTTGTCATGGGTTGGAATCTACCATAAGCATCCCTTTCTTTCTTAATCTCAGCCTTTATGTCATGTGACATCCAGGGTTATCTGGTCTTAGTACCACACTTTGTCTTTACAGGAACATATATGTCCTGTATTCTCATTATTTCCTCATTGAATGCCTCCCACTGCTCTGACAGTTTTATCTGCAAGTAACTGCTCCCAGTCCACTTGGGCCAAATCATATCTCATTCTCTAATCTTACTTAGATCCTTACAACTGAATGAATCTAAATAACGTTTCAAACAAGCCATTCTCCATACTGTGGATGTGCAACCACTGTCCAACACAACGTAATTAACCCATGACTAATTCGCTCATTACTGGACTGAATCTTCTTGTGACCAGTATAATTCCCTCAGACTAATCAATATTGTTATTTTCCCCTTTCTGAACCTTCCATGGCATGCTTCACCTCAAATTCTGTCACTGTATTTTGGAATACTTACCACATCAAATCTGAAATACCCATTAATTCCCCAGGCATTCCTGGGGTTCACTCTTCTGTTATTATTACTCATTCCCATTGTCTGCCAGTTCATCCAAAAAAGATCTCCACTGCTTTTCTTTTGCCTCTTGTATTGACATCAGTTTCCCACACTGAATCCTCCATCCCTGTGCCACTGCCAAATGTGTTATTCCCCTAGATTTTTTTTCAAGCTTCATACATCTGCTCCGAAAGTGTGTCTTCTGACAATCTAACTCCAGTTACAAACAGGTACCTGTCCATGACACTTTTGCACGATCCAACAATTTGAAAGCAAGAACAGAACCAGGAATTTCCAAATAGAATTTCTGCAATCTTGTACATAGTCTGTTAAATTCCATGATATATTCTTCCATGAAATAGCCATTCATCTATCTAAATTTTTCCAGGGCTGACTGGACCGTATATGCTTTTAAGACATCTATGTTACGAATATTGTCAATAAATTTTAATAGAATTTCAAAACCTTCCTCAGTGTCCAACTGACAAGCTTCTGTCTCAAAGCTATTTTGCAACCAATTCCGCTTTTGTTTGGAAATGACAGGTCCAAGGCCGTTCCTTGATTTTTCTTTGATATGGTCATGACCAGTGTTCACAAAGCTACTTCACTTTTCCATTTGTCAAAAGGTTCAAAATCAGAAAACATTGGTGGGAAATCATACCCTGAAACTCAGTTTCAGCCATTCTCAAAAGAAATTCCAATTACAGTCTTCTACCTTGAAACAAATGTAGTTTCTAATCTTCACTTTTACGCAACCATCTTCTGCTACTGTGTTAAATGTATCCATGCCAGATAATGAAGTACAAAAGAAGACATAGATATTTTTCTTGTTAGTAGGTTTATTAACAAGATGCAGCATTACAGATCTCTTTCTCCTAACCACTAACTCAATGCCCCAGCAACTTTACACTATTTAAAATAATAATTAAAACAAATCAAATCTAATTAAAACATAACAGCCATTTAAAAGAAATGCTTACCCACTTTAGATATTTTCTAATCAACCTGTTCAGTGATGTAGTGACACACTTCGAGAGCAGGTGAGATTTGAATCTCAGCCTTCTGGCCCAGAAGGTGTGACACAACCATTGCATTGAGTTTTTTTTGTATTACAGCAGCCATTCAAGAGATTCTCTCAGAATATTCCAGTATAACTTGGGTCTTTTGGTTAGGTCTACTGTACTTATTTTTAATCAAACTTTTTGGAAATGCTGTGAGACACCCAGTGGGTGTATCTAAACCTGGACCTTCTGGCTGAGTTAAGGACACCACCATTGTGCCACAAGAGCTATTGACCCACTTTATATTATGTTTAATGACCAATTGAATTAGTGCACCCTCACTTACTTTATGAATTAGTTTTAAGCAACCTGTGTTATGACACACCTCCGGGACTGGTAGGATTCGAACCCAAACCTTCTGGCCCAGAGATAAGAACACTGCCACTGCACTACAAGAGCCCTCCTACTAACCACAGCTCTATATATTTTCCAATCAGCCTGTTCATTGATGTTATCACACACCTCTGAAAGCAGATGGGACTTGAACCCAGGACTTTTGGTCCAGACGTAGGTTTATAGAATTAATTTGTTAATCAACCTGTCCAGACATGTGACACACCCCCTGGAGCAGTTAAGACTTGAACACAGGCCTTCTGGCCCATACTAGCACCGTGCCACAAAACACTCCCTTTGTGCTTTTTTATATCTAGAAGTGCTCTTACATTTACCAGTAAATCACCCGTGTTTTCCAATTGATTAAGGGCAATGCAGACCACCAAAGGTGAGGGTTTAGAAATGGAGAGAGGAAGAGGGCATATTTACTTTACTAACTTCACTAACCCAAATATTACCACATGAACCCACTGGAAGCAGTAGTGGCTGTGGACTATTACTATTAATACTACTTGCCTACTAATGTTTCAACCCACTTCCTAGCAGGTCAGGAGCCCAAGCCCAACTACTCATGATTCAGCATTAACAGGATTACATTTATAGTACCACTCAGTATGGGTCTTGGAGCAGGATGATAGCCTGGGGTTGAGACTGCTGCACATTATTGGAACTGTGTTAAACAGCTGAAAATGCATAGTGATTGCAGTGGGTGACAAAAGGCTACGATCTCCCAGGAATAACATCCTTATCTGTGATAAGCAGAAAAATTAGAAACAAAAAAAAACTAGAGTAACATTTGCAAATCTTGAAAGGTTGCAAAACAGGCCCAATAGTAAGGATCATGTCATGTTCAATACAGCAGATACTTGTACCCACTAGTCATCACAAAGACGAAACTGAAAACTGTCCCTGCCTCCAGGTCAATTGAAACTGCTGAAGTAAAGGATCAAAATCTGTAAGTGTTGTTTATATTTTATTGAAGCAAAAAACAGTTACAAAACAAAAATGGAATGCAGAGCACAACATTTACGAGGCACAACAACTGTTATTGCAACAAACTCTTTACCTCTGCTGAAAGAAATTAAACTTGTTTGTAGATGTAGCAAGGGTTAAGGCCACATTTTTGTCTGAAAACATACGATTCAGATGGAATGGAAAGGCTCTTCATTGGTGTCTGCAAGCTCTCTCCAACAATACTTATCTGAGTCTTTGCCAACATTTCTCTGAAAGAATTCTTTCTGGTAATGAAAGTAAAATATTTATTAAACACATTTATACTAACTTCTGAACAAAAATAATTGAGTATTTATAAATCTTTAAGGGCATTAAAGATGTTCCAGTTACAAAATGAAGAAAATCAGAAGTCTGTGGTGGCTCAGTTGGTAATTACACCATTATGTATGATATTGAACAAAAATTACACTCAGAAAGTCAAAGAGGTTTTGAGATTAACAACCCTTTTTCCCCACTGCCAATTATGAAAGCTCAGAGGGTAAATTGGACCTTGTGTGCCTGTTTTATGAGCATGAAATGGATGCAACACAGGCCAACTTTGATACCAACTTCCTGCATCCCAACAGCACCTGAAAGACCTGCTTGGGTCATGCTTTTTTTATGGATCCCTGGCAACTGCTAAAGTGGGCTATAAGCTCCTCCCATGTATAAATAAAAGCTTTAGGCCCAGATTTTTACTATAAAGATGGTATGGCTACCAATTTCAGGAAAAATCAATTTTCATCCCTGTTGCAATAAAGTCAGGGTCACAGACCCTGGTAGCAGAATGCAGGTGATAAGCTAAGTGCTAAGGCTGGCTTGTTAGAAGGTACTAGAAGCTTCGCTGGGACTTTGTCCCAGTTATGTTATAATACATTAGGCCCTCAATGGAGCCTTACCCCTTATACATTCACATCCTCCATCCATTTGCTTACATCATAAGCCAAAAGACTGTAAGAAATAGGAACAGGAGTAGGCCATTCGGCTCCTCGAGGTTGCTCTGCCATTCAGTAGGATCATGGCTGATCTGTCATTCCTCATATCCACTTTTCTCCGTTTCCCCATAATCCTTGATTTCCTGACCAATCAAGTATCTATCTATATCAGCTTTAAATATACTCAAGGATTCTGCCCCCACAGCTCTCTTTTGCAAGGAGTTCCAAAGACTCTCAGCCCTCTGAGAGAAGAAATTCCTTCTCATCTCAGTCTTAAATTGGCACCCCTTTATTTTGAAACTATGCCCCTCTGGTCTTAGACTCTCCCATGAAGGGAAACATCCTCTCAGCATTTATCCTGTCACACCCCTTAAGAATTCTACATGTTTCAATGAGATCTTCTCATTCTTCTAAATTCCAGTGAGTAGAGTCCCAACCTGTTTAACGTTTGCTCATAAGACAATCCCTCCATACCAGAGATCATTCTTGTGAACCTTCTCTGAACTGCCTCCATGGCCTCTTATACCTTCCATGCCAACTCATGCTCCCCTCAATACCCCAGCTCCCCCTCCACATACATCTATAGCCCTTTATAACCTCCATATCAGCTAATTCCCCTACCTGCCCTCCATGGGTCTTTACAGAACCATCGATACTTTATATCCCCATGCAAATTCAACCAGTAAGTACCCAAGGAGCCATTTGAGGATGAAGTAAACTTCTAAAAATCTAATATAGCTCTCAATTCACTGATTTGACAGTTAAAAAGTACTTTCTTACATAAAAGCCCATTCAAAGCCTTTTAAAAAAAATTTCAATTGCTTAATCTCATAATGACAACATTTTTTCTCCATACCCCACATGACAAACAGCTCTAAAACCTGTCAACCAAACTTAGAATCCCCTTGCTGATATAATTGTAACTTTTAGAAATCAGCCAAGCATTCATAAATGGGAAGTGTTAACAAACAACCATTAAAACTACTAGTACAGATTCTACACCTCTTGGCCTGTAAATCAAAGCAATGCAGTTTTTTAAAAATTTTCATTGACAGGTACAGCCCATTTTCAGGTTTAAAAGGCTAGTGATTTAAATAACTTCAGATCAAGACAGTTAAACAGACTTTATCTTCCTTTCAAGAGTATTTTCAACCACTCCATAAATTTATGGTTCATACACTGCAGGTTAAGGCCTATAAATATCTGGCAGAAATGCGGAGTAAGGGATACATACACATCCAGGTGCCTCTTGCCATTTTTGAAGTCCACTCAGAATTCTTAAACAGTTGTTACAGCCTAAAACTTACTGCCCAAAAACTATTTGATTAAACATTTCTGTGGAGCCACATAGAGCAAGAACCAATCCCACGCTCTATAATTGTGTAGTCGCCCCTGTCTCCATACCACCACTCCACTTTGCCCCTTCCTGGGCCTTACCACAGTACCACTATCTGTGAAGCATGGCAGACATAATTCACTTGTCCAAATACTTGTAAATGAGGCTCTCCTCAAGTGTTTTAAAAATATACCTTTACTGATTTCTAGGTTGCATTCACCAGGTTACTTGTGTGAGGCATTAGAAGATTGCTGTGGGAGCTATACTGTTGATAGCCAGCTGGTGAAGAAAGAACCAAAAGCCAGTCTTCTGAAAAGGTGTATTCACCAAGTGAAACATTGCAGGTATATATCTCCTGACTCCACTCTATTTTTGCATCAGTAAGCATCTCTTGACATGTGCTCAAGATATTCTCTAATCAGTCTGTTCAGAAATGTAATTACATACATTCTGGAGCAAGTGGGACTTGAATCCAGACTTTCTGGTTCAGAGGTAGGGACATTACCACTGCACCATGTAACAATACTATGGCTTTAAGAGGTGTATTTTGTCCTTTTATTTTATATGAAGAAAGGTTGAGACAGAGGTACCGAGCAGTCTGCTCAAAAACAATAAAGTAAACAGCTTGTGAGGCCTTGGGTACTTTTTTAAAGTTGGAACAATAGAAGCAGCCTGAATGTGTAGGGTCAAGCTCCCACAGAACCAGGATTTTTAGTTTTAGCTTCTGCAGACGCTGGGGTCTTGAAGCTGGATGTGGAAGCTCTTATTCGTCTCTCTGTTATAGCTAAAAGCAGGGATTCTCTTCCTGCTGCTAGAATTGCATGTGAGCCATCTACTTTACTGAATTTGCTTTTGCCAAGGGTGTATTTATGAGATGTTGCTATATTGGAACAGTTGATTAGTAGTCGTTAATACATACATTATTTTGTTAGGCATTTCGATAGAGTTACAATTAAGCCAATCCTTTTATTTTTATTTTGTCTGTATTTTAACAGTTGTATAAAAAAAAGTGTTTTGCTTAAAGTCGAGTAGTTTGACCAATCAAATTGCATCTGGAACACAACGCCTTACACTTACCTTTAAAATAAGAAACAGTTAGCGTCTAGACTATCTTAACTTATTGAGGGGTTTGGTCTGGTCCATAACAACCACTAGAGCCCCTAAGAAACCACGCCAAAGTCAGACACCTTATCCAATAAGCAATGCAACCCTCTATGTACTCAAAGGATTTTTTTCCTCATCACCAAACACTTGTGGAATTTTTTTACTTATTAACCACCACCAGTGGTTCTCCACGGGGATCGGGGATCGGGGATCGGGGATGGGGGATGGGGGATGGGGGATGGGGGGTGGTACGGTGGCTCAGTGGTTAGCACTGCTACCTCACAGCACCACGAACCCAGGTTTGATTCCACCCTCAGGCGACTGTCTGTGTAGAGTTTGCATGTTCTCCCCGTGTCTGTGTGGGTTTCCTCCCACAGTCCAAAGATGTGTAGGTTAGGTGGATTGGCATGCTAAATGGCCCATAGTGAATAGGGTGGGAAATGCAGGGATGGGGTAGGGGGTGGGTTGTTCTATGGAGGGTCGGTATGGACTTGATGGGCCGATTGGCCTGCTTCCACACTGCAGGGATTCTATGATCCAGTAAAACACCCGTATTCTCCAATTGATAAATTTATATGAAAAGCCCTAAGGGCCTAAATGTGCTCAAAAAACTATTTTTCTAATCAACCTGTTCAGAGATGTTATCACACACCTCTGGAGCAGGTGAGACTTGTACCCAAGCTACCTGGTTCAGAGATAGGGACACTACCACTGCACCACAAGAGGGCAAAACAGTAACACACAGAAATGTAATCGACAGGACTTGAATCTTCATGGAGAACCCCAACGGATTTCTAATCCATCGCCTTAACCACTCAGGCATGACTACAACCCCTCCTAATGTGCTCAAACAACCATCCAATAAATGCACTCCATTTGTACGTACTTGGCCTTAATCAAAACAATTCTGCTGGCATCATTGTTTGTTGGAGAGGAAGAGAGAAAATTGATACAAAACAAAGAAGATTGCAAAGGACAGAAAAGGAAAATCAGGTAATGGTCCCAATGCCAACAGACCTCATTTTCAAGCCATCCCAACTCTTTCCTTATCTCCTGTGCCCTGGAAAATTTTGCTTATAGTTTTGGAAGCACTAACCTAAGCAAAGGATGCTCATTGCCATGTATATCCTTCAGGCCATTGCCATACACATGGCCTTAGACTACTTAATCGATATTCCTTCAGACTATTGCTATGCTCAAAACTCAATATAGTTGTGGACCACTAGGAATCATGGTGGCCCACAAGCCCACAGCCACTCTACGACAAGCACTTACAAGGATTAAAGACCCCATTCCCACAATATGCAGAGCGAATGTAGTTTACAAAATACCATGCAACGACTGCCACAAACATTACATCGGACAGACAGGAAGGAAACTAACCATCAGAATAAAGAACACCAACTAGCAGCAAAACGGCATGATGAACTCTCCTTAGTATCGGTACATTCAGACAATGAAGGCCATTAAATTAACTGGGACAAAGTAACCATAGTAGCCCAAGCCAAACATAGACACACATGGGAATTCCTAGAGGCATGGTTCTCCACCCATACTTCAATCAACAAACATATAGAATTGGACCCCATATACGAACCCATATAGATCAAAACCGGAAATGACATTACTCACCATAATGGACTGGACAGTATAAATTCCAAGCGGAGTAGAAGAACATCGCTTCATCGGAGGCTCCACTGATGATGTCACCTAGCATGGTGACGAAACGTCTGAACAAAAACAAGCCAGCTTGGCGAGCAAGTCAACAACCTCATCCACAACCAGAGCTACAGATCTTTGCCAAAACTTCACTTAATATAGTTATTGGAGCAGGATAAAGGGAAAGTAAAACTCTGGAATATCAAAACTCTAGCACTGCAAGTTGCTGTCTGAATAAGTCTAGGAGTTCATTATCTCTCCTAGTTTCTTTAAACTATGAGATAGAGAAGAGGATCCAAGAAAGAATGAACAAGAAAATAAGCAACAAAATGGTACTCGTACCTGTCCATTGTCATTAACTTCGGAGTCTCTGGAAATGAAGCTGGGATAGCAGAGTTCTTCTTGGCAATTGGAAAACTCCCATCAACAATATTTGTGGATAACATTTGGGAGTTCCTAATGGATTGCAATATCAGACATTTAATCAAACAGCAATTGTAAGAACTTAAAAAATAACAGCAGGCGTCAGCTATAAGTATCAACCGATTAGGAGCTGCTGCTTCACTGGTTTCTTTCAATACAGAGCCTCTTGAACCAATCTGCATAGGGAGATCACTGGAGATACAGCCTGACAAACTCACACAGGTTAGCTCAATGGTCAAAATGTGTGATGGTGATCCAGATTTGGAGTGAACAAGTCAGACTCTCCAACTGTGGAGAGCCACTGTCCTAAGTTGTATAGTGAAGTTCTGGGAATTGACAGATATTTTGTGGCTTTGTGGACCACTGTTCACACCCTCAATGCAGTATTTAACCCTAAACTGAGCTTTCAACCTTTTATCCTGACTAAGACCACCTACTTGCACTTCATGTCACGTCGCCCATCTCTACCTCTGCCTCAGCTCATCTGCTTCTGAAACTCTCATCAATATCTTCGCTACTTTCAGAATCAACTGTTCCAATATTCTCCTGATTGCCTTCAGAAACTTCAGCTCTGCTCCCCATATCCTAATTTGCTCCATCCTCTTCCCCAACACCCCTGTCCTTGCTGAATTATTAGATTCCAGTCCAGCAACATCTCAAATACATTGCATCATCCCTCCCGATCTCTATAGTCTCTGACCTACAACCCACTGAATTCTCTGCCTTCCTACAAATCTGCCTCTGTGCACCTCAAACTGCACATAAAAAGAAGTAATGGGTTTTCCATGTTCCTCGTGCTGAATAATAGGGAAGGTGTTGGTTTGCTGAGTTGGCTGGACAGCTGGTTTGTAATACAGAGTGATGCCAACAGTGTGGGATTAATTTCCACAGTAGCTGAGGTTACCATGAAGGACTCTGCTTCTCAAACTTGCCCCTTGACTGAGGCACAGAGAGACCTTTAGGTTAAACCACCACCAGTTGTCTCTCTCTAGTAAGAGAGTAGGACTGTGGCAACTTTACCTTTTAATACAGAGAGATCGTTAATGTAGTTCAGAGTAATACTGAATCCAGCTGCCCTGATGTGACTTTTTTTTTGTTTTATTTTTCCTGAAACTGTGTCCTGTGTTCTGATCTATGCAAAGTAACCATTGTGCTGTGAGACAAGGATGAGTTTCTCCTTTCGAAACTAGACACTTAAGTAGGACTAGTGAGACTATTGTTTTCAATGCCTGGGCCTCTCCTCCAGCATTAATGCATTTTAGTTTCACCATGTTTAAGAATCTGTGTTATAAATATCCTGTGAAAAGTAAATAGTCCAAAATCTATTTTTGTAATATTCTGTAAAATAAATTATGCGTGTACACTTGAGGCAACTTGCTACAGAAGTCTTCACTGGCCGATTGTTACTGTTAATTGACTTTGAGGCAGCTTCTTCTCAAGATTTCCCAGTGCCTCTTGAAAATGAGCTTTATTGCAGAATTCTTGTTGGAATCTCAGCTTGTACCTGCTGCACACAACAGCAGTGCTCTCACATAACTGTAGCCTGGGCACAGCATTGCTGATATGTGCAGCTGCACAGTGTGAACTTCATGTTGTCTGGCGCTCCACCAACCACAATTCTCTACTAACCAGAATTTCTGTAATTCCCTACTCCATTTTAGCAACTAGAAGCCATTCAGGTTATCCAGGACCAGACTACCTCCTAGGTCTCCTTGATATGGCTAGACAAGCTTCCGTGAGAGGTGGTGGTGGTCCATATTCATCGCCACCATTGTCATTTTTAATTTTTCTAATGCATGAATTATAAACACCATCTTGCCATTATAACATCCATTAACCAGAGAAAAGCCAAAGTGAGAAGTGCAAAAGTATTGACACTAGGTAGAAAATTGTCATCTGTAGATATATTGAAAAGGGCAAGAATCAGGAAGTTTTGATTAAAGAATATAAAGGTAAAGTCACTATAGTTCAGTTCTGTCAGAGAGGGACAACTGTTGGTGAGCTTACATTGAGGGTCACTACATCTCAGATTAGGTCAAGAAGGTGGGCCCTTCATGATGATCTCAGCCATTGCTACTGGTGTCACTCTACATTGTAAACCAACCATCCAACCAAATGAGCTAACCAACTCCTTTAAAGAGTGTGCTTTTGGTTCAACCATGATATATGATATCAGGGCCAAGGAGAATAATTGCTGAAGTATTTTGCTAGTTCTGAATCAAATAAAAGATGCCACCTGTCTTCATGAGCCGAGGTTAGAACAACTAGACAGTACTTTATATGATTTAATTGAAATGTTCAGAGGCCCTACCCCTTTTTTCTCTCACCTACATTTTTCTCTTGCCCAATGCTCATTGAAACAGCAAAAAAAATTAATGAAAAAATTAAATTGACTAAACCACGTGTATTTTCTAATTATGGCTTTCATGTTTTAAAGTTTATTACAGAATTGGAAGGTGAATAAAAATTGGTGAATGAAAATTGGCCGATCAAATGCTGCAGAGAAATACTTTGATTTTTTTAACAAATTAATTTCAGAACATAACATTGCCATTCATAAAATTTACAATACAAACGAAACTGGTTTACGTTGGTATGTTTGCCAGAATCTACTCTGGCTGGTGCAAGTGAATCTGGTTCTACTGGTTTTAAACAGATAAAGATAAGATTACCTCACAGCTGTGTACAAATGCTGCAGGCTCACTTAAAGTGAGAGCTTTGGTGGTTGGAAAATTAAGTGTCCTAGGTCATTTAAAGGTGTTACAGTTACCTGTAATTTACAATGTGCAGCGTAACACATGAATGGAAAAGACATTTTTCAAGAATGATCTTAGCATGTTTTTGCACCTATAGTGAAAGAACATTTTTTAAAAAATAGACAGCTTGAAGAGAGAGAAGCAACTGTAGAGCTCACCCTCATAAATCTGAATTAGTGAAAGGCAACATTTTTTACCAATTTCCTGTCTCCCAAAGTTAATATATTGATTTAACCTACCAGGGTGTCATCAGAATATGAAATGTTATTATACAAGACATTTCATGAGAAAGCTTATCAATCACGAAAGCACGATACAGAGCTTTAAATCTGTATGTAGCATTGAAGCAATTAAATGTGGCCTGTGCTTGGAAATCAGTGAAATGTGCAACACCGAGGAAAACTTGAGAAAAATTGTTACTCAGTGTTATACGTTCAGAAGGATCTTCTGATGAAGAGGATTTTGAAAGATTTAATGCAAGACCTAGAACAAATACATTATTGGAAATTATGGAAATGGTGAATGATACTCCTTCTACACATCCAACGGCAAACTTCACGGAAGTGAGATAGGACAAAATATTGGAGTTGACAAGGACGCTGAAGTGACATGTACTGTTAACAATACAATAGTTATGTGAGTGTTGTGAATCGTCAAAAGCCAAAGGAGGCTAATAAAAAGTTTTCAGTGAAGAGGAGAAAACAGGTTAATGTGACTTCAGCTTTTAATACTGCGATTAAATTTGCTGAAAAACAGACTTGATTCTGCGCAAGCGGTTGTGCCATTTCACATTCTGCACACTACTTTTATGCAAAAAGGCAGAAGGCAATTTGGTATTTATTCAATGAAGCATGCAGAACCAATCTCCTATGCCTTCTACATCTTTGGGGACAGTTGAAAGAGAACCTGAAGAATTTTTTTTTGAGTATCTGGAGATATTTTCTAATCATCCTGTTCATATATCTCATGAGACACCACTGGAGCAGGTAGGACTTGTGTGCTATATTAGAATAATAATACTGGGGAGCCAGGAAAAGGCAGAGGAGTTGAGCAAATATTTTGCATCAGTCTTCAATGTAGAGGATTCAATGTAGGATCCCAAAAATACTAAATAATCAGGGGTTAAGTGGGGGATGGGGGAGGATTAAGCAAATAACTATTACTAGAGAAAAATGGAGAGTCATACAGCACGGAAACAGACCCTTTGGTCCAACTTGTCCATGCTGACCAAGTTTCCCAAATTAACCTAGTCCCATTTGCCCATATCCCTCTATACCTTTCCTATTTATGTACCTAAATGGAAACTAATGGAGCTAAAGGCCAATGAGTATCTTGGACATAATGGGTTGCATCCTGGGATATTAAAGAAAGTAGCTACAAAGATAATGAATGCACTAAGGAAATTGAATCCTTAGATTCTGGAAGAGTCACAGACGACTGGAAAATTTCCAGTGTTACACCCTTATTTAAAAATGGAGGAAGACAGAAAAAACATCAGGCAACTTCAGGTCAGTTAGCTTAACATCGGTCATTGGGTAAATGTTAGTGTCTATTATAAAGAATGTAATAGCAAAGCATTTAGAAATGCATAATACAATCAAGTAGAGTCAGCATGGTTTCCTGAAGAGGAAATTATGCCTGAAAACCTTATTACAGTTCTTTGAGGAGTAACAAGCCAGGAAGCCAGTAGGTGCAATATATTTAGACTTCTAAAAGGCACACGATAAAGTAGCACAGATAAAGCAACTGGAGTTGGGGTAAAGGAGGCATTTTCACAAATGGCAGCCTGTAACTAGTGGAGTGCCAAAGGGATCGGTGCTGGGACCACAATTATTTACAATATATATTAATGACTTGGATGGTGTAAGTGAATATACTATCATTAAGTTTGCAGCTGACACAAAAATAGGTGGGAAGATAAGTGGTGAGAATGACACAGGGAGTCTACAGAGGAATATAAACAGGTTAAGTGATTGAATAAAAACTTAGCAGCTGGAATATAATATGGAAAAATTGAGGTTATGCACTTTGGCAAGAACAATAGAGCTGAATATTATTTAAATGGGGAAAGACTGCAGGAAGCAGCAGCACAGAAGAATTTGAGTGGATGAATCAGAAATACACTGGCATCCAAGGTCAGTGGGTAATAGGGAAGGCAAATGGAATTTTGGCCTTTATTTCAAAAGGTTTGGAGTAAAAAAAGTAGGGAAGTCTTGCTAAAACTATACAAGGCACTGGTCAGATCACAGCTGCAATACTGTGAACAGTTTTGGTCCC